GCGGCGTCGGCGGGGGTGGCGGCGGCGGAGACGGGGACCGTGGCAACGGCGGCGGCGGTGGCGGTGATGACGGCAGTGGCGGGGGCGAGGACCCTCACAACGGAGTTGACCAGTGTGAGCACGACGGTCCTGCACCTGGTTGGCCGGTCGTCTTGCAGCGTTTGAGACGAGGGGCCAGACCGGATAACAACATCGCCTCACGTGTGCGCAAACGTCATCTTCGGCCTCAACACGATGCGATCGTCACGGAGGCACACGTCGTGCAGCACGAGCAGGTTGTCGTTTCTGAGGACTCCATGAGCGACAAGGACTTTGTTCCTTCTGATGCTGACATGGGTGGCACGGAGGATCAGCCCGATCTTGTTGAGGCGCCGACCACGTCTGTGACGGCGATGTTAGCGCCGGAGAAGAGTGGACAAGGGTTCACTCGTCCGAAGTCTACGACACACATTGGTTCAGAGAACGGAGAGGTTGAGAGAGGGGCCCACGGGGGAACAGGCGTCGCGGTCCCCTCCATAGGCGAGGCAGTACATCCTCCCACGGTCGACGTTGGTTTGGAGGACGGAGAGGTTGTACGTACTCCCACGTGTGCCTATGAGGGAGAGGATGCACATCATGCCACGGTTGACCTTGTTGGCCTCGCCTGCCCCACAGGCAGTCTTCCGCCCACCGCCGTGTTGCTCGCCATGCACTCAGCGTTGGATCGTCTGCGTGACATGTCGACTTTGATGTCTTCCACTTTGCCATTCGTGGCACCACCAGCGACTGGTCCGGCGGACGACACAAATGTAGTCTGTAGAGGATTCGACGAGTTCGTCGGCGACACGATATTGCATCCCGGTGTTTCCGCCAGTCCCGCAGTTTTTCATATGGGAGCACCGCATGCTGTGGACCAGGGTTTGGCGGAGCAGGTAGCACGGAACCGCTATGGCGGACCGCGCATTGCGGCGCAACGCAGTCTTGGGGATTCATTTGAAAGAGTGGATGCAGAGTGTGAGGCGCAGGAGGGTCTGTGTGCACAGGATTTCGCAGGCGACGGGTCATCATTCTAGGTAGGACCTCAGGCAGACCCGCAACCAGGCCCGCTCCCTTCGGCGCAGGAGATGGTTCCCGTCGTCGTGGGCTTGGGCGTCGGCGAGGACATGCGGCGGGATCTGGCACGGACATTGACCACGGATGGTGCCGTGTCGTGTGGCGGAGACCACGAGCACAGAGGGTCATCGAGCGCATAGCCTGGGGATGACGGGCCCACGCAGGTACGTGTCGGAGGCGAGCATGCAATTGACGCTCGTCCGCATCTCATGGCGATGCGTTTATCACCCCCGCACCCCCATGGCGTCGACCTTGCCGCCAAGGGTTTGGGCGCGAGCACCGCATTGGCGACGGTGTCGTTCTATGACGGCGTGACTAGGGTTCGGAGGGCAGGCGACGAGGCACATGCATCCGCATGTGGACCGACAGATGTGCCTGTGGGGATGCGATTCATAGGCCGTGTCGACGGTGCTTGTCATGACTCCATGAGAGCATACGAGGAGCGACACGGGAGGCCGATGGGGGCCAAGACATCGGATGTCCACGACACGAGGACGACAACTGCGAGGTTATCTCGGCCGAGGAAGAAGGGGACAGTTACATCGATTCCATATCACCGTCGCCGTCATCTGCCTGCTTTCCACGCTAGAGATCCGAGCAGACAGATTCCGGCAAATGTCGGGCCAGTGGCGGACAGAGGGACAGGCGTCTGAGGATCAGCAGCCATTGAGCGGAGATCCGAGCGTGGGCATGACGCACTTCACGACATTGCAGCACGAGCAGACCTCAGACGTGACGGCATCGACCGTGCAGGGCGAGTCGAGAAGAGACGAGGCGATGTGGTCATATACCTTGACGAGAGTTCCACAACCGTGGAGGCTGGCGAGACCACAGGTGCCGACGATCCGGGTGACTCCGATTATGTTCCTAGGAGGTCGGCAGTGGATGAAGATGATGGCAGAGGTCGACGTGTCAGGCAGAGGACAGGGCTGGCCGCGCACGGCCAGGGCACGCCATCGGCCCCTGTACATGCTGTTGATGGACGGGCGCAAGCTCAATCTGTGTTGGCCGAACTGTATCATTACCGGTCTGATGTGTGACAGCTCGCATCGTACAGTAGGATGGACTGTTTGTGCAATGTCTTCCTTTATCAGAGAATTTTGGTAGTTGACACTTCGTTGTGGCGTTGCTGCGTATGCGCGAACAGGACGTGGGACTCTTGTTGCGCGGCAGATGACCAACACGGTCCAATAGAGCCAGACCTGAGTTCCCTTTAGCCGTATCGCCCTAAGCAGACCCGGGCTATCAGTAGGACAGCAGGCCCATCCGGGCCTTGGGATGTAGAGACGGACTAGACGCCGTATAGCCGGGTAGGGTCTAGGGCCTCAAGGTCGAACAGGCCGAACTGATGAGGTACCGGTCCAGTAGGTCTAGGTCTAGAGTACACTAGTATGCGATTGGCTATGCTGTTCAGATGTTGTTCACTGAGTCTATGTAGGTGGACCACTGTCGCCCTTCGTTCCTTAGAGATTGTCAGGGCTCGTCAGTGATGCGGCAACCCTAGCTACCATTTTCTTCGTCGGAGTTACTCATCGACGTGAAGACGTCATCGCGATCCTTGTTCTTCATCTTGGACGCGGTTTTAGTGTTGCGCTACTAACTAGGTGCAGGATAGAGAGTGGTGTGTAGAGTTCTGAGAGTGGCGAGATACTGAGTTAAAATCTGTAACGATTATTGGTTTCAGTTGGTCTATCATTAGTATGTTTTCGATTATTATCCTCGCAGGTTTCGTCGTGTGATTGGTTGTTGGGAGTCTGTTTGAGAAAGAGAACAACTGTGTGTCTTCTGACTCTTCTCCCTATCTGTGCATGGTTGACTTTCCGCTGCGTGTCTCTGTCTGTGTGCAGTTTGGACTTTGTCTCCTCTCCCCTTTGTGTGGTATGTGTATGGGCATGTGTCAGACACTCTGTGTGTGAGTGGCGAGAAAATCGTCAG